AGTTCTAAAACTTACATGGACCATATATTTACCTGAATAGACCAACAAGCTTATACAGACCCGAGTAGCTCAAACTAAACCCAAAAATTTCAATCCAATTATAAACATCTTAAGTGAAACGTACAAATTAAAAAATGAGACAATTACAGGGGTGAGCTGAGGGAGTAACATTTTGTTACAAATTTGATGTTACTTTTTGGTGTGTGTATACTCCACATGAATTTTCTCAAGAATATTACTCTCTCGTCTCTTATAACTTTACTAACTTTTCTTTTTGGTTGTCTTAAAAATTTTATCACTCTCTCTTTTAATGTGCTCTTGTTATTTCCCATAAATCTTTGTCACACGATTGTCAAACTTTAAAGGACTGATGGAGTATCATATGAAGTTGGTGCATAGTACAATATTAAGGGTGTCTATCCATGTTTAATTTCCATTTGCCTATTTAAGGATCTGTGCTGATCAAATGAACTTCATTCAAACAATAGCCATGGCAACCTCCTTTCAACCACTCCTCTCTTCTTCAAAAGCTCTCTACACCTTTCTTTGCTTACTAGCTGTTGTGAGCTCAGCTGCACTGCTTTCCAAATGGATCATCACTACTAACTCCTCATCTTCTTCCTCCACCTTTCATGCCAGTGTCTGTAATGGGGCCCATGACCCAACGTCGTGCATAGCTATTCTGTCCGAGGTTTCATCGTCCGGTCCCACAGAAACCAATGGCGGAGATTTACTTCAGATGCTTTTACACTCGTCCTTACGGCGAACTAGAGATGCCATGGATGTGTTGACCAATGTCACCGGGAGAGTCAACGGCCAGAAGGTCAAATCGGGTCTTAATAGTTGTATGTTGTTGCTGGAGTTGTCTGTTGACTGGATAACCAACTCTATGGTGGCGCTCGGGAACCCATCGGCCAAAGCCCGCTCCGACGCCCATACTTGGTTGAGCAGCGTATTAACGAACCACGACACGTGTTTGGACGGGCTTCACGGCCCGGCCTGGTCAACGCTGGAGCCCATCCTGAATGACTTGATCGCCCGGGCAAGGTCATCCTTGGCGATGTTTGTTGCGGTTGCCCCGTCGGCGTCTCGTCAGGATGATCTCTGGCCACTCAACCGCAAGTTCCCATCTTGGGTCCGCCCCAGAGATAGACGACTGTTGGAATCTTGGGTGGACGCCGCCGTGGCATCCTATGTGGTGGTGGCGGCCGACGGAAGCGGGCATTACACAACCGTCACAGAAGCAATTTACGCCGCGCCAGATAGTGGCACGACACGTTATGTTATACACGTCAGGGCAGGAACGTACGTAGAAAAGGTTGAGATAGGGTGGTTAAAGACAAATTTGATGCTCGTCGGCGACGGGATGGATGCGACAATTATCACTGGCTGCGCGAGCGTTGATGATGGAAAAGCCACATCCGAGACTGCTACGGTTGGTAACGCAATATTTACCTAGCACAACTTATTACACTTGATTTTTTGTGTGTTCATTTCAATTTGATTAAATTGAATACGTAGTAGGAGGTATAAGTTACTACTAAATTATTATGTCTATGTTTGTCACAACTAGCTGAAAAGATATTTTTAGCTGTTCGGAATGTGGCAGCTGTTCGGTAAAAAGCTACATGTTTGATTTCGTTCCGTTAGGTATACAAGATGTTGGGACTAATTAATGTTAAAAGTCACAGACTTTTCTCAGATGCTACTCCCTATAGCATCTCAAAAAAGACCTTTTTTTTAAAAGCTCTAAAAATTGTCATACCAAACATATAACTAGAAGTTTTTAGGAACTTTTTAAATAGTACAAAAGCTAGAAGGTAGAGTCTTATATCTCCCAAACATAGCCTATATGTAGTATATTTAGGAGGTCACATTTTTGTAGACAACATTTATTTTGATCATTTGTATGTAATTTTTCATACTTTTTTCCTATGTAAAAGTAATTAGTGTTAAGCTTGAAAAAACTAGTTTAGTATGGTAATACAAAAATATGATACTCCATAGAAATTACTCCTATTTAGTGAAAATTATAATAGTAAATAGACCTGTTTTGGGCTATTTCTTTGGATAAATTTATTTGGGAAATTTTCAAAATTAAGAGTAAAAATATTTTGAAATTCTAAAATATGAATAATTAATATCAAATCTGAACATAAAATTTGTGTAGAAGGGTGAATGTGATTTTTAACAATGAAAATTATACCACCTTTCAAAAAAAGGGAAGATTATACCCTTCCTTTAATTTTTAGTGGCCTCTCTATGGTTTCAGGAAGTTTTTTTCAATGGGGAATTCCTTATTTCCATTTTAACAACTTTAGTCTAACTTTTGCTTTCAAAAAAAAACTTTTATTCAACTTTTCACATTCTTTAATATTTTTTCTATTTGGTCATGTTCCATGTTCCCATTATATTCTAATTTTTCGTCTTGCACTTAACGATTTTGGATTTCTGGATTTTACTTTTTACATTTTTTTACATTATTATTCACTAGTTATATTACTCGTGTTACTCCGCATATTCTTTGCGCGTACTACTATGTGCAGTATATTCTCTCTATCGAGATACTACTCCCTCCGATTCTAATTAAAGTTCTCACATTCCTTTTTGGGATGTCCCTTATTTAAGTTCACACTTCCCTTTTAGGAAACAAAACAGTGCCAAACAGTGTCAAACAAGGTCCAAACAGTGCCAAACAGTGCCAAACAGTGCACTCCACAGTAAAGTCAAATTCATTTTCTTAATATGTGTGAAGTCAAACTAAGAACTTAAATAAGAATCGGAGGAAGTAGTAAATAGGCCGTATCTGTGACCAGGTTTGAAAAAAGGATAAAGCTCAAATTAGACACTATGATTTCATCAGAATCTCATATTGGACATTAAGGTTTTAAATGGACCAAATTAGACACTATGATTTCATATGTATCTCATATTGGACACTAAAGTTTCATAATTCAACATAAGTGAGTGTCCAATTTGTTCTTTGTCCAATATAAGTGAGTGTCCAAAAGCTATGAATTATGAAACTTTAGTGTCCAATATGAGATATATATGAAACCATCGTGTCTAATTTGGTCCATTTGAAACCTTAGTGTCCAATATGAGATTCTGATAAAACCATAGTCTCCAATTTAAGCCTTATCCCTTTGAAAAATGAGTAATGTTTACTAATTTTATATGATTGGATCAGCTGTATGGGGTGCTAGGTTCATGGCTCAAGACATAACCTTCCAAAACTCAGCGGTGCCACCGAAGCACCAAGCGGTGGCGCTAATGGTAGGATCAGATCAATCCATCTTCAACCGCGTCAAAATTGACGGATATCAAGACTCGCTCTACGCCTACGCCGGCCGACAATTCTATCAGGAATGCAACATCACCGGTACCGTCGACTTCATCTTCGGCAATGCGGCGGCCGTTTTCCAGAACTCCCAAATCTTGGCCCGCAGGCCCGCACACGGGCAGCCCACGTGCATCTCAGCCCACGGTCGGCTCGATCCAAACCAGAACACGGGCCTATCCTTCCAACAGGGCCGTCTAATGAATTTAGAGGCCCTGGTTCCGGGTGCAAATATGAGGCCCCACGTATAAATAAAAACAAAATCACATATAATAACAAAGTCATAAAGTTTTTTAAAAAACAAAGTTATAAAGTTCAACAAAATTAATCGTTCAAGTGTTTATATAGAAAATGACATAATTTAAATTTTAAAATAACTACATAGAATTGTTTTGTTGTCACTTAAATAAAGTTGTCCTCCTTGCCGTCTTTGAAGAAAAATCATCGATCAAATCCTTGTACTCAATCTTCTCCAAATACTCATTCTCAATCGCTATCATTGCCAAATCATTAAGTCTCTCTTGTGACATTGTAGATCGCAAATAAGATTTCAACAATTTAAGTTTGGAGAAACTTCTTTCTGCACTTGCCACAGTCACTGGGATAGTCAACATTATTCTGTATGCAATAACTACATTAGGAAAACAAGTATAACGCTTCAAAAATTTGAAGAGATCAATAGGTCCCAACTTTTTCTTCGGTAAGAAAGAGATAAAAAGTTTCAATTCCATATACATATCATCTCCATCAACATCAGACTGTTCATCTTTCTTAAGAGCACATTCAAGATGAGAACAACATAACTTCAATTGTGCATCTTCTAGTGAACTCAATTTCTCAGAAGTAAATAAAAATCCAAAAATACTCTCAAATTCCTGATATTGCTCAAACCTCCTTCTCAATGAAACAATAACTTGATCAACAATATATAAAAAATAATTAAGTCTAAACGACTCATCAGCAGATAGATTAACAACTTCTGAAGTGCTATCTCTACTCTCATCAAATTGCTTCTTTCGTCGAATTGGTCTCCTTTGAGGAAATATTGGATCAATATCTAGCTCAAAGGCAATTTTTTTGGCTTCTTCTATAGCATTTTCATAACCACTTTCTCGTTATCCCTCAAAAAAGTAATCAAACTCTTTATCTCTTGAATAGCAACATCTATAAGCATGCTCTCTGATTGCAAAGTCTTACTGACCAAATTAACATGATATATGATTTCATACCAAATAACTATTGCCACTAAGAATTCAAAATTACTTAGTTCATGCAACGCTAATGACTTCGCTTCGCTACAGATTTTAGAATCGCTATCTTTTTCAGATATCTCAAGTAAAGCTTCACGAATGTCCCCAATTTGGAACCTTATAGCTTTCACACTTTCAATGCGACTCTCCGAACGAGTGGCCGATAATGATTTCAGAGTTAATCCCTTAACATGGTCTTCCAAAACCTGCCATCTTTTGGTTGAATTCGCAAAAATTGTGTAAATGCGTTGAACAATTCCAAAAATATCTCTTGCCTTACCACAAGCATTAGCCATATCACATAATATCAAATTAAGACTATGACACCCACATGGTGCATAAAAAGCTCTTGGATTTATGTCCAACATTTTTTTTGAACTCCTTGATGTTTTCCTTTCATGTTTGATCTATTATCATATCCCTGACCTCTTACATCATCTATATCAAGAATCAATTTTTTTAATTCATCTTGTAAAACATCAAAAAGTCCTTGGCCAGTTGTATCATCAACATTCAAAAAGCCTAAAAATGATTCCTCAATGCCAACATCATTCGAAGAGACATCCACATATCTCAATATTAAAGACATTTGTTCTTGGTGGCTAGTGTCTGGAGTACAATCAAGTATCACTGAAAAGTACTTTGCTTGTTTAATTTTCCGTATGATTTCAGACTTAATTTGAGAGGCAAGCAAAAGTATCAATTCATTTTGAATAGCATGACCAAGATAATGAAAATAAATCTCATCATTTGTGATACGCCTAACATGTTCTTGAATTACAGGATCAAACTCGACTAGCATTTCAATTAAGCCTAAAAAGTTTCCATTATTGGCTTCATACAACCTCCCATTACTACCTCGGAAAGCTAAATTATGTTTTGCCAAAAACTTGACAATCGAAATAATTCTCAACAACACATTGTTCCAGTGATCCCTTTCCTTTTTAATTAATTCTTGGGTCGTCTTGTCAATTGTTTGATTATGTTTAAGCCTCCATCGCAACTCATACCAAGTGGTCATATTTTTAATATGCTCAACACTTATTTCATGCTCTCTAATCCTGATTGAAAGATGTGCCCAATCATTAAAACCTTCTAATGCTAGTTGCCCTCTCCTTGAAGAACCTTTATAAAACACTTTACAACAAAAGCAAAAGATTCTATCAAGTTCCCTTGAATATACAAGCCAATCTCGATCACATTTTTCTCCATTTGATAAAACTCTTGTATAATATGAGCAAGAAAAACATTTGTTATATTTATCTCTCGGATAATTTTCAATAGACATGTCTCTTTTCAACCCTTTCTCAACTAAAATATCAATCATGTTTGGACTTAGAGCATCCCAATTTCTAGGATCAAATATATCGATTTGAAAAGTTTCTCCGATTTTAGATTGTTCATGATTTTCAGTATCACTCGCAGTGGGATCACTATTATTCTCATCGTCATCCCTAACAACATCCTTATCTGATAGATCATCAATTTCTTTGTCATTCTCAATAGGCAAATCACCATCTAAGTTCACGCTAGAGTTTACAATGGCACTTCCACTAGCACTAGAGTTTTTTATCATAAATCTATCTAGAGCTCCTCTTTGAGACTCGGTTACCGCATCTAATCTCTTTTTTTTCTTTCGTTTCTCGCACCCCGATTCATATTTTCTAATTCTTGAAGACATGAACAATAAGTAGATGTTTCAAGCGAGAACAATATCACCTGGATTCAAGCAAAGTTTGGTAGTTTCTATGTATGAATGATCCGGCTATAAAACTTTAAATGAGAGATTGCTTGTTGAAATCGCCTAACCAACCAACCAACCTGAAAAAAGGGAAAATATGCAATTAAATATCAAACTCAAATTCGGAAATCTGAAATTATAAATTATATCATGAAATTAACAATACAAAATCCCAAATTCAGTAATCTTATTCATAAATCATAAATTATTAAACTCATAACTGTTTAGTATTTAACTATTATTCTATTAACTATTAACTAATATGATAGTATAATATAAATATATAATCAGTTAATAAATAATACTATAATCAAATAAATCAATTAATCATTGATCAAGTTTCAAACTGTAATCAATAATATCTATAATCAAATAAATCAAATAAATAATAAATTATTAACTATAAATCTATAAACAAATAAATTAATTAATCGTACAAACCTCAAACTTCTCAAAGTGGAGAAGTCAGAACTCAAACCTCAAAGAGAAGGTTTATGTGCAGCCTGTGCTTTGCGGTCTAAGAGAAGGAAGCAGCGGCTGTAGTGCCTTGCGTGAGTTGCGTCGTTTCCGACTTCCAAGAAGACTTAGAAGAGTAGCATCGTTTGACTGGTTGAGGTGGCCTCTTAAATGTTACTCCGTATTGTTATTATTTATGAATTAATATTATATAATATAATTATATATACTATTACTATAGAAAACTTTGGGGGCCCCCAAAATTGTGGGGCCCTGTTCTAGCAACCCTAATGAACCTGCCAAAAAACGGGCCTGTCTTCCAAAGTTGTACAGTGATTCCAAGCCCAGATCTGGAGCCGGTTAAAGCAGATAATAAACTAACAACGTTGGGCCGGCCTTGGACACTTTACTCCAGGACCATGTACATGCAGTCCTACCTGGACGATCACACAGATCCACTTGGTTGGGAACCATACGATGGTACCGTCGGGTTGGACACGTGTGATTATGCCGAATACATGAACACCGGACCCGGCGCCGGAACCAGCCAGAGAGTTAAATGGAAAGGCTACCACGCCATCACTAACGAGGTGGATGCGCAGCCGTTCACGGTGGATCAGCTTCTCCAAGGCCATTCGTGGTTGAAAGCTTCTGGCGTGTCCTACACTCTTGGCCTGTAGACTACGGGGAACCGAAATTGAAGCAACGCCAATTATATTTGGAGAATTTGAGTTGTAAAACATTGTCGTTGTAATAGGAACACACTAGTATGTGGAGTTGTCAAGTTATTACAAATGAAATACGAGTATGTGGTTAATAATTACTAGTTCCGTATCATTTTATATGTCTCACTTTGACTCGACACGATTATTAATAAATTGATTAAAAAAGTAACAATTGTGGTTGAAGTTTGAGTATAATAAAGTAAAATGGTGTAACTAGACTTATATTTTCTTCCAAAAAATGTAAAGAGACACTTATTTTAGAACAATAAAAAAAAGTAAAACAAGTAAAATAAGACCAAGCCAATAGGATAAACATAGTCCGTAGATTATATTGGAGGCTTTTGGTATGTTGGTTTGGTTTTCATGCAATTGTTATATGAGGAGTATTACGATATCTAAATGGTGACAACTTCAGTACCTTTCTAAAAAATGAGGTACCGTACCTATCAACTATCATTCATTTGATTGGACCACATCACTTTATCATTTTTAATTTAGGTTTAAATAATTCAACTGCTACATTTTCATTGGTCCATGTGGACAAAAATATGGTATCTTATGGGTACCGTAGAATCTACCTATCTCAATTACTAGTCTGATGCATAAACGTAGTAATAGAACATTATGGCCACCGTTGTACCTCGCCCTACTGCCGCCTACCTCTGTACCCTGCCGCTGTAATAGCCATACCTCGCCCTACTACTACCTTGAGGATGAAGGATGAACTTTAAATTGGGAAAAATATTTTACTTTTTAATGGTCTTTGTCTGAAGAGTTCACTTTGGAATGTCTGAGTGTGATTTTGGCAAATGATATGCCAAATGTATTAAGTCTAGTTTACTCATACCAAATTTCAGCTAAAACTTCAATCGGGAAGGCATTCAAATGAAGTCTTGAAAATAACTGCGCAGTTAAAAGCGTAGTTACCTTCAAGAATTCATTTGAATGTCTTCCCGATTGAAGTTTTAGCTGAAATTTGGTATAAGTAAACTAGACTTAATGAATAAGATGCTCCAAACATTCCATCAAAAAAATCCACCGGGAACCTCCCCAAATGGTAACGGCGAGACAGTAAGGACTTATTTGATCCTTTTTATGCAATTTCGAGGACCGATCTCACCCTTACCTTTATCTTATTCTCTAGCTCCTTATGACCTGCATTTGTCGATGAGTGATTTTCAGTGTAACTAAATGTTCTCTTCTTCGCATGGGTTTCTGGTGGGAGCATTTTTTTTCTTTTACATTTGTCATCCCTTAACAGGGTAGGATATGTTTTAATATTTTCTTTTTATGTTTTAAAAGTTTTGCAGCCTGGAAGTATATTGACGACACTAAAGTCGTTGTGTGCCTCAATATAAATTCAATACTAACACTTGTACGTAGTATAGCGTAATAGAGTTCGTATCCAAAGGGAAAAGTGTAACACCCGGCCCCGCAGGACCTGAGGTAGTTACTTCTGATCTCTAGTACTGTCCTCACGTGATCACAAACCGCCACTAGCCTTTTCCGCGCACTTTGTCCTTACTCGTGCGCGTCCTGAGAAACTTCCGGGTCACCCATCCCAAGACTACTCCCGTGCAAGCACGCTTAACTTTGGAGTTCTTGGCTAATGAGCTCCCTTAAAAAGAGATCAATGTTGTTAGTAGGAGTAATACTATTAATCCGTTTAAATTAAATCTCAAGTATTACAATCACCCCCGCTTAGGAATGCAACGTCCTCGTTGCGCCCATAAACCAATCTCAATCATATCCCAGAATCTTTTCCCCTGCTAAGTGCCCGCCCGATATCCAACTGATCAGCACACTATCGCAGGGTTGCTCTGATACCACCTGTAACACCCCGGCCCCACATGACTCGAGGTAGTTACTTCTGACCTCTAGTACTATCCTCAAAAACCACCACTAGTCTTTTCCGTGCACTTTGTCCTCACTCGTGTGCGCCCTGAGAAACTTCCCACGGGGTCACCCATCCCAAGACTATTCTCGTGCAAGCACGCTTAACTTTCGAGTTCTTGGCTAATGAGCTCCCTTAAAAGAAGATTCATCTTGTTAGTATGAGTAGTACTATTAATCCATTTAAATTAAATCTCAAGTATTACAAAAGGAATACTTTTATTTTTATGAAATAGTAAATAAAAAGGGGGTTTTGGGATTGAGTGATTTAATTAATTTAATACAAAGATGAACGACTTAATGATTTTAATTAATGGGATGAAATACTTGGTTTTACTACTTTCCACTTGTTGATATGTTTGTTGATCCTTGTTATAGGCTAGAATAAGAGCTTAAAAGAGGCAGAAAGGAATAAGAGCTTAAAAGAGGACATCTGATCACAGAGGGGGGTATTAAATAGGCTAGAATAGCTAAAAGGTGCAAAGGGAATAAATGGACCTCCTTGATTTAAGGGCACAATCATTGTAACTCATCTATCAATTCCCTAGACTACAAATATGCCTTTAAGGGAATCGATTGAACAGCTTTCCACATACCTCAAATATTCCCCTGCGCCTCTATCATTGTGAGAGTGTGAGAAGGGAAAGTTTCTACACAACATTTCTTCATCCTTGTAAAACTTTCTTCTTCGATGAAAGTCTTCTTCTACACCTTTTAGAGCTTCCATTTCATATATTTCTGTAGTACAAACAATGAGCCAACAACATTAGTGAAAAAATTTCCGCCCCCTACACTAATGAAAAAAAAATCATCCTTCTTAACTCGAAATCCTGGATCCGTCTCTGCTCATACTACCTCCATCCCCCTGTTATTGTCCCATTGCGGTTTACGATGCTTGACTGACGATAAAGCAAACAGATCCCTGTCCGCACTAAAATTATTTTTAGGAAAAAA